AACTTTCTTCAGTCCCGCATGTCCAGAGTGCGCTGTGTAAAGGGACGGAAGTGACTGCATTTAATTATTTGTAAAAATGAAAAAGAAGTTGTTATTGACCATCCTAGCTGGTAAATTTTAGCTTCTACTAAAGTTCCCAAATAGCGTCAACGAAATGCTACCACCGTACCAATTATATTGGTTACAACGACTTCCGGTTAAGAGGGCAATGAAGTTACCTAAACAAGCTGAACGATTTAGTCGAGTTTACGCGAACAGCCAATTAAGTCAAAGGATGAAGTCTTGCGATTGCAGGCACTGCCTGCTGCCAACTGCGTGTGCGTAGATGCACCTGCATACACTGCTGCCGTCGCTGATGCCAGCGTGCGCGTGCAGGACGTTCGCACACTTGTGCGTCCTGTCGTACCTGTAAGCATGAGGACACAGAATTTTCCGTTCGGGCTACGCAAGGACGTGCTGCTATATTCATTGCCGTAGTCATTGGCCTGACTACTACATGCACCAAGACCTCTCATGCAAGGTCGCTACCATCTCTCAGTTCGCTGAGGCACTGCCTATGCACTGTATGCAAGCCTGCTGCCTCGGCCAGCGAGCCGCGAGGTCACAGCACAACCCCATGCCAACGTGTACGGCGCTAACCCATACCTAAACGCCCTCTGGACCCAATCAGCGATGGTAATCGCACAATCACTTCACTGGATAAGCAACTTCGGCAAAATGCGATGCATTAATGTCATTAACGCCAACGAATGACAGCCCAGCACAAGATTCGCTATGACACCTTCCCTACAGATTGATTTCGTTTGTTGTCAGTGTTCTTGCAAAGACGCAATAAGGCTAAATGTGAGGAACGTCTGTGTCAAAACACGACGACCATAGCAACAGTAATCTATGCAAATGCACACTAAGACAACCATAAAAGAACACAAGGGTATGTGTTATCATCACCAGAAGAGGTGATGATCACACTTGAAATAGCACTGGTCAAAGTTGAAGGCTTTGTATTGAAGAATTCACAACTGTGGAAGCTTTTAAAACCATCTTTATGTGACATTCGCACACAAGTCTGGTTATGGATAGGTAATACACTAGTCCCTGAAAAAAATATACTTAACGAGGTTCTCGGCACGCATTCACATATTCACACGCGTTAACATTTCTAACTATTTTCATAAAACACGCCTAACTACACCATTTTAAGTAAATGAAAACAGACCATAAAAAATAAGCGCAAAGAAACTAAGGGTTGTCATCAATTAAGAGCACCCACCTGATACATGTAACCGCTGATAAGTCCCTTTGTACAAAACAATACAAAGTGCATTTAAATTAACTTATTAATGCAAATAAAAGCGAAGAGATAACACAGATACAGCGGATGCGGCTTGGAGTTGGCGCTGCTCTGCAAAACAGCCTTAGTGTGTGTATAACAAACGCGCGCGCGGGTGAGCCGGAGCGCGAAGAGTGAGAAGAAGATGGGATTGGGGTGGATGAGTGGGCGGTAGGCGGTGGGCGGGCGATGAGCTCTGCACCAAGGCAGCATGATGTAAGTAAGGAGCGAAATACGCTGCCTAATAATGGCGCAAAGCAATGACTGCCCGATACACGACACATAAGGAGCAACGACCAGTTGGTGCTTCTGCTGAGACAAAAATAAAGCCTAGTCGATTGCGTGAGAAAAATGGCGTGGAAAGATGATGTGGAATAGAGTTATGATGGACAATGGATGGAGTACCGTCGAAAATGTGCGCTGGTGTAGTAGCAAGTGTTGGAGAGATCACATTTGCCAGAGATGGGAGTAGAAAAATACAGATGCATCACGTAAATAAGAAGACGGAGACAATGTCCGACGGAAGGACCATGGAGGGATCACATTCTTGGTTCTCCAAGCGGAGCAACGGGATGGATCGAGAAGCGCACAGAAAAAAAGTAATTGCACGAAAACGAGTTACGACGGACAGGAGCTGTTTGCAACAATGTAGTGATTGAAAGCCGAGTGAGGTCCCATGCGAGTTATTCTTCTATTTTTTTTCTGGCTAATTCTGCGACGAACAGCGGGACACAAATGCATTACGAAAGGACAGAAGTGCGGAAGTGTATCAAAGTAAACTAAACAAAACCTGCATCAACAGGGTTTCATATGTGGGGAAGTAGAATGGGGTGTATAAACTAAAGCGTGAATGGTGCTAGAAAGGGGGTAGTGCAAAACGATAAAAATAACTGAATTACTGATCAAAACAAATCCACAAATGACAACGCAGATACGGACGTAGAAGAGAGCGAGTGAAAATATACAAAGGGATTGCATTAGAAATTTATGAAAATAGTTCCCGTTTGAAAAAAGATCATGCATTGCGGTGAAAAGCGTCGCGAGTTTGTATGTAAGTGTACCAAGCGTCCTGTGTTTGGTTCCTTCTTTTTGGGTTAAAGGCGTAGCTGTATCAGAAACAGGCGACCACCTTTTTTTCTGGCGCAAGAAAAAATCCTGCAGATACAGTGAGGGGCAGATGAGAAAGGAGTACAAAAAATAAAGGTTAATAACAATGCATCCCACCCGGACTGACATGCAAGGGAACGCAAGATTCTGTGCGGACGTGCTTTAGGACAGCGCAATGAAACGGGTCGTGGAGAGGATCGAAGGAAGACAATGCGCGTGCATTACAAAAAGACAAACCAAACGGAAAGTTGTGGGTGGGGAAGAGTGGAGAGGGAATTATAGCAAAATGGAACACAAATCGATAATGAAAAGGTCAGTTGTTGTCGTTATTGGTACAAAACTGAGCAACTATGCAGTAGGAGGGGAGCGTTGAGTGTAGCAGAGAGCGTGTATTACACGCATGAGTACCGTAGCGTAGACGGTGATTGTTGCGAGTGGACTACGCAGAGTACGTCGACCAAGGCACACGCAAACAGACTCGCACGCGCACTCCAGCAGAACGCAGTTACGAACGACAAAAAGACGCTACACAATTTCGCCAATAATATCAAAAGGAGCAGTCAAAGGAGATCGGGGATAGAAAATGATTAGTAAACATAAATTGCACAACAGAAAGTAGAAAAGGGGGCACCCACTTGTGTTTGGCATTGTAGATATTGATAGAAATACGTAAGGTGAGATGCGCAAAGCTACCATACTGTGATATATCAATCCCATAGGCAAAATGAAACAATGCTCGTACACCATAAGTAGGGAGGAGGGGGACAAAGAGGGACCAACTGGCTTGAAGAATAATAGTGGCACGAAATGGTGCAGTGGTGATAATGACGATAGTAATTATAAGTGACATGTGAAAAATTGCGAACCGGAAGGATTGTTCACAGGAGTCGTATGCATTTGTGTGAGTGCGAGGTGTAAATTAAAATAGTCTGTGTTTTTGGTGAGACGTGTCTACATACAAAGAAACGAGGATAAAAAGCTCACATAAACGAAAAACCATGCAAAAGGTGTAACAAAAAATAGATATCCAAAAGTCAATCAATTGATGAACGTAGCATAAGTAGAGAAGTAAGGAGGAAAGTAATCGAAACTCAAAATGCGCAAGCTAATGAGGGACTGGTGGTAGATGAAACCGGCTTCATCCACGCTGGGCGATATTATGAGATAGGGTCGATCACAAAGAGGAAGAATGATGTAGGTCTCACGCAGGGGTAAGGACTACAAACTATGTGCGAGGCGACTATTCGCAGAATACAGTGGTAGGGGAGGAACGCGGCGACTATGTGGTTAATGATTGAATGGACGAAATGCACACACGCAAGGTAGACCCGTGAGTGCGGTAATGGCAAGGCCGAGAGATCTCCCTACCAGCGATAGAGGGCTGGACGAGGTCGCTCCGCACCTTCCTTAACAAGGGGTTTGTGGTACTCGCGGCCCTGCCGGCTGTGTATCTGAACCCAACACTGTTCACAGTAGTATTGAAGACATGTGACATTGGCACAGAAGAGAGGCGCAAATTTGCCACCGCATCGCGCACCTTGACATTCATCACACATTTGGTTATCCAAAACATATGGCTTGACCTCCACCTAGAAGAACGCAGATTTCGATTAACAGATTTGGTGTCCACAGCCTGGTCAAGAGTTGGTCACAGTTTTAACACTTGTGCAGTTTGTTTATTCTTTTGAAATAACGCGTACAGGGTGGTATATGCTAATGACTTAAAAGTGAAATGAAATTGAGCTCGATAGTAGTGGATACAAATTGCTCGCTCAAGTTGAACACTTAAAAGCAGTTGTGCAACAATAACTTAGACAGGAGAACTCAACTGCTGCAGCATTGCTATAATATCGCCAACTTTCTTTTGAAAATGCGCATTTCTCAAGGTGTGCAAGCACAAAAGGACACATCAACTAAGGGCAATTATGAAACACTTGGGGGGTATTTTAAGAGAACAAGAGAGCTCACCCGTTTGTCGATGTCGTTGTGTTGCAACTGAACAAATCGAGCGCTGATGGCAGAAATGTAACTCTGCTGATTTGAAAAAGCAACTCGCCCTGCTCCTTTAGGATACTTTAGTTCAGGGTCAATGTCAATTCCCGCGTAACAAACACCTCCATAGAGGTGATCCATGATAAGAGCCAGTTCGACTAAAGTAAATATTAGCATTTCAGCCACGTGAGTAAAATGCTACATGAGCCATAACGTTAGAGGCGTATTGAAGCAGAAAACCTCGGAAAACATTCAGATAACTCAAATTTATAGGCAATAGACAAAGGTTCATACTTGAAATAAAGCAATAAATCGAGGGATAAACTTTGAATTTAACGTCTTGAACCGTCTGCAAGATATAGACTAGGTGAAAAAAGACCAAGGGAATTATCTATAAGCACAACATACTAATATTTATACAAGAATTTGAGCTTTATAGGAGCTCCCAAGACTAGTCAACTACTTTACACATTTAATCCTTGCTCCTCAAGCTTTTTGCAATAGTGCGAAGCCTTAAACAAATCAGTAATGAGACCAATCAGCATTAAAAACAAACATATTTATTAGTTTGGAAGACTTGCAAGGACATTAAGACAATAACGATTTAAAAAAAATAACACAAAACAATTAATAAAATTTAATCACTTTGATTTCGTGGGGCAATATTTCGTAGAACATCAAGTCCAAGGTACAAG